GGGAGTATGTGTTTTGTTGTTGTCATTGCAGTTATTCTATTACTGTTCTATCAGTTACTCTTCCTGTTATCTGGGGAGCAGATAAAACATCAGTTGTTGTTAGTTGTCCTTCAGTCAATTCCAACTCATGGCAACCCCATGTGTGTTACAGTAGAATTGTGCTCCATAGAATTTTCAATGGCTGATTTTTTGCAAGTAGATCTCCAGGGCTTTCTTCCAAGGCACTTCTGGGTAGACTCGAACCTCCAACCTTCTGATTAGCAGCTGAGCATGCTAACCATTTGCACCATCCAGGGACTCTATTACATCCCCCAGAGATCCTAAACTCTGGGTCTGTGGCCATGGGAGAACAGAATTCTTGCCGTGTCACCCCTGAGAGGGGGGTAAGTATACTTTGTGTGGAGGAGAGAGTAAATTGAGTATTTGGTGACTGATGGGTGGACTTTAGGAGTCATTAGTCCTGTTCTTCAAATATTTCATTTTCCTTTTTGGTATATGCCCCCTGGAAGTTAGGTCTAGACACATGACTTGGTTTGGCCAATGAAATGTGAGCTGAAGTGATGTGTCACTTCAGGGCGGAAGCTGAAGTTTCAATACACGATTTACCACTTTCTCCATCTCCTGCCTTGCTGATCATAGAAGTTATGTGTTGAGATTGTGCCTCCATCAGCCTGGGTCCCAGGGTGATTATAACCCCTTCAACAACGAGCTGAGCCCGTCATAGAACAAGGCGAACATATAGTTTAAGCAAGAAATAACTTTTGCTGTGGTAAGGCACTGAAATTTTGAGGTTTTCTAGGCTATTCCATTACAGAAAATGATTAGCTTCACTGTGATCCCCTTGTCTCCCTTTTTCTGTCCCAACTCAAGCCAAGAGAGGAGGCCCTTCTCCCTTAGTTCTGCAATTCACAGCAGAGGCCACACTGTAATTTCATGTGAAAGAACAACACGCTCTGGAGCCAGTCTGTCTGGCCATTTTATAGGACTCTACCACTTGACTAATCAGCTGAATGACCTCGAGCAAATGATTTTACCTTCCTCATCTGTAAAATGGGGGTAATAGTGTTTACTTGTTCCAGTTATCATGCCTGTATAAGAAACCACCCCAAAACCTAATGGTGTCAAACAACCATTTACTGTGCTCACAGAGTCTGAGTCAGGAATTTGGACAGGGCACAGCAGGTGTGGCTTATCTCTGTATCCCATGACTGAAGACACAGCTGGAAGACTCAAAGGCTGGGGGCTGGCAGTGGGTTTCATTTTTTGGTTTTCACACTCACACACCTTGTGGTTCATGTTGGCTGGGGCTGTCACTCCTACACATGGCCTCTCCATGTGGCCTGGGCTGCCTTATAACATGTATCACACAGAGAAAGCAAAAGTACTATTACCTTGTATGACCTAGCCTCAGAAGTCATGCAGCCTTCCAATGGATCCACTAGTCAAGGAGGTCAAACTCCTGCCCAGGTCCAAGGAGAGGGGAAGTGGGGAAACAGACTACCTCAACAGAGTAGCAAGACTCTGGAAAACTGTAAGAGACCAGAAATACTGGTATAGAAAATATAATTTGTCACACTACCTCACAGAGTTGTTAAGATTATAATGAATTAACACAAAAAAGTACTTAGAACAGTGTTCTAAGATATTGTGATGGCTAAGATTGTATGTCAGCTTGGCTAGACCATTATTCTCCGTGTTTTAGTAGTTGTATAATGTTGTGATCACCCTCATGATGGAATCTGCTGAGTGGTACTGGCGGAGGCGGGGCCTGTGGCAGCTCACCGCCCTCTCAGTTTCATCTCTCTGACTTCCGCCCGTTACCTTCTGCCTGCTCGCCTTGCCAAGGTTTTTGGCTTGTTCCAGACTCAGCAGCTGCCTCTTGTTGTCTCACCTCTGGTTTGTGGGACTTGAGCTAGCAGCTTACCTGTTGATCTCAGAATTCATCGAACTTCCCAGCCTGCAAGCAGGAATCTGGTTCCTGACCTGCCGACCTTGGGTTCACCAGCCCCTGCAGCTACATCAATCAGGAGAAACCTAATTGTCTTGTCTGCTGATCTTGTGACCTTCACAGCCTGTGAGCGGGAGCCCCTCTCCAACCTGCCGACCTTGGGTTCACCAGCTTCTGCGGCTACGTGAACTGGGAGAGGCCTCTACCCTGATCTGTGGACTTGGGACATTTTAGCCTCTACAATTGCGTGAGCTATTTCCTTGATATAATTCTCTCTATATATTTATACGCTTTACTGGTTTTGCTTCTCTAGAGAACCCAGCCTAAGACTTTGGTTCTGAGCGAGTGGGGTGCTGCTCTAACAGATACCTAAAATGTGGAAGTGGTTTTAAAACTGTGAATGGATAGACGTGCGGCAGTGACAGAGGACCAGCAGCAGCAGAGAACCTGCAGCAGCAGAGAAATGGCAGTGGCAGAGAACCAACAGCAGTAGAACCAGGAGACCAGTGCAAAATGGTGCTGGAGCCGACCCAAGGAGCAAGAGCTGAGTGCCTGTGTGCAGAAGGCTTCCTGGCAGAGTGGGGTGCCTCTGGGCACTTATCGGTGGATCTAGGCTTGCCGACCCACGGAGTAAGAGAGCTGAGTGTCTGTGTGCACTAGGCTTTCTGGCAGAGTGGGGTGCCTCCAGATGCTTATACCGGTGGAGCTACAGAGCTTTGGAACACTTGCCCCAGCAGGGCAGATGCGGGCATGACGCCCGAGGGCCAAGAGGCCACAGGAAACAGAAGCAGAAGCTCAAGAGACAAGGGACACAAGAAGCTGAGCTGCCTCAGTCTCAAAAGGTATGGCCATGACCTCAGGGGTTTCAAAGGGTGGAGCAATGGCCTCTGGTGCTTCTAAGGGTGGAGTCGCCACTCAGATGGACTGGGAGAATGGTGCGCCTAAAGCCAAGGGAGCAGAGTTGCTGTCCCAGGGGGCCTGTAAGGCAGAGCTGAAGCCCAGGGCCGATGGGCCTCCTCTCAGAATCCAGGGACTGTGGCCAATACCTAGAGTCTGGAGGGCAGGGCTATTGTGTAAATTGTCTCAGAGAACAGAAGATTATTTTCAAAGCCTTGAGGGCTAATGTAATGTGTTCTGCTAACTTGCTTGGTGGCTGTTATCACTTCTTTCCCTCTAGTTTCTCCCATTTGTAATGGAAATGTCTAGCTTGTGCCTGTTCTGCCATTGTACCTTTGGAAGCAAATAACTTGTATTCTAGATTTCACAGATGCAGAGGAATTTTTGGATTTTGGACTTGGAGTTAAGACTTTTGCTATGATATGACAGGGTGAATGTTTTCCATGTTGCAAGGATGTGATTTTTTGGGGGCCAAAGGGTGGAATGTCATGGTTTGAATTACGTCCCCCCAAAAATGTGTGTATCAGTTTGTTTGGGCCATGATTCCTGGTACAGTGTGATTTTCCTGTATGTTGTAAACCTGGCTCTATGATGTTAATGAGGGAGTATGGGTGGCAGTTGTGTTAGTAAGGCAGGACTGGATCTACAAGACTGGATTGCGTCCTGAGGCAATCTCTTGAGATATAAAAGAGAAGTGAGCAGTGAGACGGGGACCTCATACCATCAAGAAAGCAGTGCCGGGAGCAGAGCGTGTCCTTTGGACCAAGGTCCCTGCGCAGAGAAGCTCCTAGTCTGAGGGAACACTTAAGAGAAGAAGGCTGACAGAGAGAAAAAGCCTCCCCCTGGAGCTGATGCCCTGAAGCAGAGCGCGTCCTCTGGAGCGGGGTCCCTGCACAGAGAAGCTCCTAGTCCGGGGGAACACTGAAGAGAAAAAGGCCGACAGAGAGAAAAAGCCTTCCCCTGGAGCTGATGCCCTGGATTTGGACTTTTAGCCTACTTTGACTATGAGGAAATAAACTTCTCTTCGTTAAAACCATCCACTTGTGGTATTTCTGTTGTAGCAGCACTAGATGACTAAGACATATATGTGCTTGGTATTAGTGATTTAGCCATAGAACCCTATGGAGCTGCCTCCCTGCCCAACTTCCAGTCTGCTTCATCGTGGCCAGTTTCATTTGAGAGGGACCCACAGGCTATCAGTTAGTTCCTTTCTAGGTTTTCCTCATAAAGGGTTAAGGAGGCCTTATGGTAACCAAGATAATCTACTTACATATTTACAATTGTGTCTTTATAGCAAGAGAGCTGCAAGAAAAAAAAATTTTTTTAAAACTGTTTAAAAGCAGTGATAGGATTTTAGGTGATTTTTATTTTCATTTTTTTCAATAGAAGTGTATCATTCTGTTAAAAACTATTTGTACCTTTTTTAGAGTAAATATTGAGGCAAACGTGCAATAAACCTCTAGGGGGCAGGTCATCTACCAGGGTGCTCAGATGAGGCTGAAAAAGCAGGAAGAGACCAGCTAATAATCTCCTAGTTTATGGCTAAAGAAACTGGATTGCTTGCTGTTAGTGATGCTATTTGGATTAGATAACCAAATGCCTTCTTACCACTGAATTACCAATATCAGAATGATCAAGGAAAACAGGCTTGTGCAATATGTAAACCATTGAGTAACATGTACATGACCCAGTAAATAGCATTTCTTCAAGCCTTTTACTATTTGTTGTGAAAAGAGAAAACTAAGCCTACAGTGTGTGCCAGGTACCTGAGGTCAGATCTCGTGTATAGCTTAAATTTTGCAAGTTGCTTCAGTTAAGATTAACCTGCAGGGTTTTGCTGCTACAAAATGGGTTTAACTAAGCACAGGTTTCCCCCGCTATCCAAAAGTACAGCATTCCTATGAAACCTTTTGTTTAAGCCGAAATGGCATAAATCGAAGAAGCAATTACCATTGCTTTACATGGGAAAATGTTTTGAGCATCCCCAGACGCCAAAAATAACCTACAAATCATACCAAATAACACATAAAACCCTTATGACCTTTCTTAGGCTTTTCTGATACCTTAGGACACATCTTGCTAATGGATGCACAAAATAAATAGAGATAAAGCACCGGTGCTCACAGACACAGTTCAAAGCTATGGCGGCTTGATGCTGAGTATAGTTCCCGGGGAAGAAGCCTGGCGACGCCACTCTCACCGCTCAGGGTGCGTGCTGCTTCTTTAACCAACTGGTGCAAAACAAACGCTGAATGCTATTTCTGCTTTTCGCCTTTTTTCATAAAAGCAAAATGGCGTAAAACGAACTTTCGAAAAGCGAGGCATACCTGTATCTCTTACTATTAAACATCCGGGTAGTATCCAGACATGACAGATCCCGTAGTCACTAAAGCTAAAAATGTGGAGCCAGCCTCAAAAACTGACATTTTGTGGTTTATACACCTTAATTTTGTAATGTACTGTGTAACCATTATCAACCAAGTTTTCCAAGTTTCCAAAGAATTCTTGGTGCTACTTAGCTTGGTTGGGTAAGGCCGTACCATGCATGAACAGATAAGCCTAGAACCAAATCATGTTAGGTTTAAGTAAGTACCTTCAGATATAAGATTATCATTGAGTCATCTAATATGACATTTTCTCAGCTTCCTTGAAGACATTACATTGTAGATGAAGCCCTACAGCTAGCCTAAAAGAAGCCCCATCTTCCAACTTACCAGCTAAATTCCCACCTACTCATGCTTCCCATCAGGATGTCTTATATTTACCTATGCACCAGCAGTTACTCTTCAAAATTTCTAATAGCTAAATTCACCTTTAAATTGTATCCCAAAATGTTGTCCCTAAACAACCAGTGAACATTCAAATGAAAACCTTCTGTTAGTTAAATGTTTCCTTGTTAAACTTCCTCTTTCAGAAACTAGGTTCAGAATGCTTTTTCCTCTTATCAGAAATGCTTGGTATTGGTCGTTCCTCTAGAACAGGGGTCAGAAAACTATGACCCATGGGCCAGATCCCATGGGGAGTCAGGAGTGACCACACTAAGAACAAGGACTGGAAGAAGGCCACATCTGCATGAGGTCCATATGTCTTCTAAAGCAGCCCTGCCAGTAGCATGCTGGTGAATTCTTGCAAACATCACACTGCTTTCCCCTTTCCAAGCTCGCCTTCCACCTATGATACAGCAAAAGCTGCACAATTTCTAGCCACCACTAATGACGGGACTGCGAGAATGTAAGTGACTACAGCAATGTTTTCAATTTAAGTTAAGACTTTTATTTTTTTTTGTTACTCCCAAGTAAACCCGGGTGTGACTGACCTTCATTGCTCCAGCACCAGTCCCCCTACTCCTCACAAGAAGACACATTTGCTTTAACTCTAGCACTTGGAGAGTGCCTAAGCTTTGGCAGCTGACTTATAATGGGTCAGCGTGCGGGCAGAAGGGTCAGTGGCGTTGATCCACTTGGGCATCCAGTAATGGGTCAGCCAGTCAGCCCGGCCTGGGTAGTGGCGTTCAAAGATTTGGCGGTAGTAATAACCTTCTTTAGTTTTAGGAGTATTGAAGGGAAACTTTTCTGAGGCAGCTGCCATCATTGTATCATCAACCTGGAAGAATAAGAGGTTAAGAACAAAACAGTATTTGTGAGAGATCCTTTGAATCACTCATCACTTAGAAAATGTCAAAATACCCATACTATACATATCTGTAGTGACTTTTAAGAAACATTCATATGCATATTACTAATACTGGTGGTTCTGATCACCTGGTACCTACCTACTAGGCACCCAACTGTGTTAAATGAAAGTCAATGATAACCAGTAAGCCTCCTTTCTTTCTCTCTTTCAATTCTAGGTGCTACTTTATAATCATTCATGTACTTAATTCATATAAAAGCAGTACTGTTCGTAGGGACTGTGAAGCTCTCCTACTGACAAAAAAACTTTCAAACTAAATACAAAATGAATAGTGATTACAACTCTGCATCCAAATCTTCCTATTCCTGAACATGTTTTAAAAGGTGATATACCTGATGTTCAACATAGTCCTGTAAAATCCTAAACCAGGAATTCTTAACTGAGGTTATTCCATCACTGAAGGCTTCTTTCGGTCGCCAGAGAATCTCTTTAGGTATCAGGTTAGAGTCCTCAAATGTCTCTCTCAGGAGATGTTTTTCTATCCCATGCTGACGTGAAAACAAAAGGCGCATCAGTAAATGTTACAAATAAAACCTGATACCAATGAGCAGTTTTTATCTGGAATTGATTCACCCACCTTTGGAATCCTCATTTCTGGTGGCAGAGACAAGTAATAGGAAGAAAATCGATGATCCAGGAACGGGACTCTCAGTTCGAGGCTTAAAGGAGAAAAGAACATCTCGATCAAAATGGATATGTAGTGCCTGTCAGTTTAGATTCTGATTCAGTTTCCTCAAAATTCAACCAGTTAAAGTAATGATTATAAAGTCATTTTTACAACCCTCCTAACTGACCACCCTACACTAGGGTTGAATGAACATAAAATCTTCATTCAGAATAGTAATATCTATCAATAAATTGGGGGAAAGAAGAGGTTTAGTCTATTACTTTTACTTTCCCTTCTATGAACAGCTAAACAAGTATCTCACAAAGCAGAAATAATTAAGAACCACAAGTGATCTGATCATTAACAATGTACCTTGCCTGGTACAAGAGTAGGTGAGACCTACTCTTGTCCTATGAATAACTGTAAGGACTACCCAATGTTTTTCACTACTAACTCATGAACACACAATTTGCAATATAAACCAGTGCTCTACAGTGTTTCATCAAATGCAGCACCACTTGTCTCCTGAATGCTGGTTCAGTCCCCAACCGCATATTTAATTATTTCCTAAACTACCATATTTTATGCAAATAACACACACCTTCTACATTTGTTTGCCAACAGCAACATGTAAAAAAAACTGGCATAGCAATTTTTAAATGACTGGCAAACATACATAGAGTATGTGCATCATCTGTGTAAAATACAGTAAGTTTGATACAGCAGAAGCAACTAAAACATTTAATGTTGGTTGTCTATCATCTACTGTCTTCAATTCTCCAACATGACCAGCCAAAAAATGAAAGCTTTAGCCAATCAGAAATGACATCAAAGAAACATGGCTTCTAATAATCTAATCATACATCCTGCATCTTCACTGCCCTGTACCCGCAGAGTCACCACAGCATCATCTAGGCATGGCAGGTGCTCAATACTTGTTCCATGGGAAACCATAATCTTTACTTCTCTTTAAAAGACTTAAAAATGGTTGCAACTGCTTTCCCTCTTAATTGTTCAGATGTGAGGACTATGTTATGCTTTGAGGACGGAAACTCAGCCCTAACAACCTACAGCAGAATACCTCACCATCACCACGACAGCACTTTGAATTCAGCCTAATTCTTTTGGGGCAAAGTTAAGAGACGAGCTTCCTTTTTTTCTATAAAAGTCAAGTCATACTTTGCAACATATGGCCAAAAGAAAAGAAAAGGAAAAAAATCAGCCCTCGAGATTTTTTTCTTACAATCACTTCTCAAAATATTGAGTTACCCATGGGCAGCAGTAGTTCGATCTGCACGGAGAACATCAAATAAATAGAGTTCCTTCAGAAGCCTCTCACTCTCTTGCTCAGCTTTTTCAGGAGAAGGAGCCTATTTCACAAAGAAATAGCTGAAGTTCCAAATATACAAACAGTTTTGCCTTTGGCACACAAGGCAGTTTTTCTTTCTTACTGTTATATACATTCCAGCTCTAAAAGTGGGTAAGAAAAAAAGCTAAACAAAACAAGGAAAGGAAGAAAGGGCTGAATGGAGGCAAGCAATGCTTTATCAACATGCCTTTTCTCGCACCAAAACTGTTCTAGAACAAATAAGATCAACACATTGTGCAACAGCCATAATTTGAGAGGGCATTAAGAAATACCAGAAAGGTGATTCTGATGTTTAATTCATTTTAAAGAATGAAAATTACTGGACACTTACTAAGACTTCTTTTTCCCCAAAAGAAATCTAAAGCAGAGACTATCAGACTTCTCCATATACTTCACAAGAGACTCAAGAGACTATTACACTAAAGGTCAATCAAAAATACAACAGAATATAGTCAAATAATTCATTCTTTTCTTAATCTAGCACCAGTATCATTCCATTTCAGAGTATTTACCTTGTGAAAATATATGTAACCCTGTGTAAGTTCATCTGAACCTTCTCCAGAGAAGATCACCACACTATCTGTGTTCTTCCTAATGTACTTGGAAATTAAATACATACCTAAAAAAAGAGAGAAATTATTGTTAATGTTAACCCTCCACCAAAAATGCCTTTTATTTGGCTTTTGGGAACAATCGCAAGCTTTGCTATTATACTGAATCTTATATTAATACAAATTCCAGAACAATGACCTTATACCTACAAATCATTTATATGTACTTAATCCAAAAACTGTACTACTGCAATAAAATAACCCAGAACCATTCCACAATTTTATAAGCAGGTTTCAAAATCCCAATGTCTCTAGACCAAGAATATCCCCACTTGAAATTTTGCTAAACTCAACAATGACTCAAATATCTAAGAATCATACCTTTCACACCGGTAATACTACACAAAAATAATAAAGAGTTGTAATTTTGATATTTCAGTTTTAATTTTTTTCTGCCACACTCCATTCACCAAATTGCACGTAATTGATACATTATACACATGACTAAGACACGCCTGCTTTGTTCCTGCAATACATCCCTTTAAACCAGTGTTTCTTCTCAATCACTTTTCATTATTGCCCCCACTGAAGGAGTCTTTGAGACCCTCCCCCTCCCCAGCCATGAAATGTTAATACCACAGATATACTCTGTGTCTGTTTATGTACTGAGGCCCTTTGGAGAGTCACAAACCATTATATTACCTAAGATCTTCTTGCCCTCCAAGAAACAATTTTTGCTCCTTTGGGGCAATATTACCCCTATTGAGAATACATGCAATAGGTCCTATCAGATTCTGCTTCTCTTAAAAACAGGCATATCTAAGCCAATGGCATATGAGAGGCTCAACAACATGGTTCAGTCTGATCTGGGGTATATCTACAATCTCAGCAAGCATCCATGGGGTGACATTACTATTGCTTGCTGGGCAATAATAGCTACTGATTGATGAGTCCTGTGAAGGATTATCTACCAAAATACATCTAAATGAGTATTCTTAATGGAAAATGCATTACAATGAAGAACTGTTTTCTCATTTTATTCAGGCTACAGTTCATGAAACTTCATTATAAAGAGAAACTGGGGGAAGGGGGCATAAAGTATGTATCCACTCTTTGACGATACAGATAATGAAACCATAAATGTGGAAGTTTAATTATGTACTTACTGGTATTTATTGTTCCTCTCACTCCAAAAGAGATTCGGGGAATTCTTAAATGGTCTTAAACAATTGGCAACATAGGAATTTATTTGCATTCATTGCATTCATTCTTGAATAGTGTTTTTTAAACTGTTGTTTGAAATAATAGTTTCTAAACTCTTATTCTTCTTCAGTATTTAAAAAAAAAAAAAAAAAAAAGCTTTCTACTATCATAAAATACCTTACCTACTGAAGCACGAACTGTTGTAATGTCATAAGTTTCCAAGGAAAATATAACTTCATCCAGGGCCTGAATTCCTTCCTCAGAATTAAAGAGGACCTCATGATGCTCACTCCCAATATGATTTGCTACCTGATTATATATGAAACATCCATATACTTGTTATTGAAAGAACCACCCTTTAAAAAAAACATGACAGTAGCTCACAAAACTATATAAATTAACAATAAACCAGTTGCCATCGAGTCGATTCTGACTCATGGTGACCCTACATGTGTCAAGAGTAGGGCTGTGCTCCACAGGGTTTTCAATGGCTGCTTTTTTAGAAGCAGATGTCAGGCTTTTCTCCAGCGGCACCTGAGTGGAACTGAACTGTAAACCTTCTGGTTAGCAGCCAGGCATGTTAACCATTTGCACCAATCAGGGACTCCCAAATTAAAACAAGAAAGGCAAAGTAAGTGGGACAGATTCTCTAGGTCACCACTTATGTAAGCCCCATCTAACCAGTTTTCCTCACCTCCTCCAGTCTCTCTGCCCTCCATTGAATCACCGGCAGCTGGATCTCTCTCATCATATCTTTCCATTCCAAAGGCTTCCACCTAATAGTCAAGAGGTTCTCAACTAGCCCCCACCCCCACCTAGTTTACCAAACCCACCTCATCTCTCTCTAGTCCAACATGGTCCAACTCTAAAGTTGTCTCCTTTTGCATCTCCTGAAATGCCTAAGTTTACATCCAGGATGTTATTCTTATACAGAATGGCACCTCCCCTCACTCTACTTTCTTTGACTATTTTGGGTTCTCTCAGCATTGATCAATTTGCTTTGGGACTGGTCTCTAGCTTTTACTCATCCATTCTATGTAAATTCTTCCAGGATAGGAACAGAGGTCTTCTTCACAATGAATATGTACAAGGTCCCCTTTCCCTACAACCCTAAGCATAAAACCCAAAAAACTCATTGCCGTCATTTCCGACTCACAGCAACCCTACAGGACAGAGCAGAACTGCCCTATAAGGTTTCCAAGGCTATAGTCTTTATGGAAGCAGACTGCCACATCTTTCTCCCACAGAGTGGCTGGTGGTTTTGAACTGCTGAGCTTCTCGTAAGCAGCCTAGTGCTTAACCACTGTGCTACCAGGGCTCCTTACAGCCCTTAGTGCTTTATAAAAACATAAAAAATAATAACAGCTAACATTCACTAAGTACTTAATACATGCTGGGCTCTATCCTAAGCACTTTATATGAATTATATCATTTCCTCCTCAAAACCATGCCACAGTAGATACTACTACTCCTATTACGTAAGTGAGGAATTATGTAATAGAGTCAGGATTTGAAACAAGCACTCATGCTCCAAAGCCTGCAATCTTGACGACAGTATACCCTTTCAAAATTACATCACAGAGATTTTGTGAGGAACGTATCAGTCATGGTACATGAAAGAATCTAGAGTACAGTGTACCACACAGATAATATTCAATAGGTATTTCATTCTAATATATTTAAACAATTACCCAAGTGAACACAGCAGCAGAATTATAGTATCAATTATTACCTTGATTTTCATTCTAATAACAAACCATGTTAACTACATAACAGGCAGAGATGGTTTCTTACTTTTCTAGCAGCCTGTAAATCAGGGCTGTCTTCCATGCCGATTGCAAATGTCTGGAGAGGGTACTGAACTTGGGCCTCTTTTAGCTGCTTCAACAGAGTGGCAGCAACCAGGCTGGAATCCAAACCCCCTATGAGCAAAACAGCAATCATACGGTTATATGCCTTGCATAAGACAGGAACAAATAGGATTTGCATTCTTGTTAAGCACTGAGATTGTATTTTACCATTTCGAATCCCCAAAAGTTTTGTAAACTGAAAATAAACTTTAATAAGAGAAAAATAAAACATATAACTATGATAACAGTATCAAGCATTTGAATTAGTTAAAAACACTACGGAGAATTCTGAAGAACACCTACTGGTTCACCGTTACGTTAATAATATAGCTACAGCATAACTCTAATTTGCTAAATTAACCAGATGCCATCAAGTCAGTTCCAACTCAAGGCAAACATACATGTGTCAGAGGAGAATTGTGCTGCATAGGTTTTCAAAGGCTGATTTTTCAGAAGTAGATGACCAGGCCCTTTCTTTTGAGGCACCAGTAGGTGGACTCATACCTTCAACTGTTCAGTTAGCAGCTGAGGGTGTTAACCATTTACACCACCAGGAACTCCAATTTGCTGTATTACTATTAATATATTACGATATTAAATGTAGCTTACAGAAAACCACCACCACTCATCTGTCAGTTTCTCCTACTGCGATGGCTTGTGTGTTGCTGTGATGCTGGAAGCTATGCCACCGGCATTTCAAATAGCAGCAGGGTCACCCATGGTGGAGAGGTTTCAGCAGAGTTTCCAGACTAAGACAGCCTGGGAAGAAGGACCTGGTGATCTAATTCTGAAAAAACTCACCAGTGAAAACCTTACAGATAGCAGTGGAACAATGGCTAATGTAGTACCAGAAGATGAGCCCCTCAGATCGGAAGGTACTTTGAGGACTAAGGTGCGCCTGACCCAAGCCATGGTATTTTCAAATCGCCTCATACGCATGCAAAAGCTGGGCAATGAATAAGGAAGACCAAAGAATTGATGCCTTTGAATTGTGGTGCTGGTGAAGAATATCAAATATTCCATGGACTGCCAGAAGAATGAACAAATCTCTCTTGGAAG